GGTTACCTGGTTGGGATGGATGGTTTAAGTCCTGTCAGTAGTGATGAACATGGCTTTAGGCTGGTGCAAGCCACAGAGACCTGAATCCTGCAGGACGTGGCCGCAACACAGGATGGAGTCAGGAAGTTATTGCATGGCCTTGAGCTGTGCTCCCCACCTCTGCACCAGGCAAGAGCCCTGGTCAGGCATTTTGGGTCTCAGCAGTTGTGCATGAGAAGGGTGCAAAGGAAACCACTCAGCCAGAGTATTTCAGCACCCTCTCGTGCCCCCAGCTCCCACTGGAAAGTCAAATCAAAACCGAACATTGTTTGTTAATTCATAACAATGTCATTATCTCAGTATTACTGCCAGATTACACACAGGCAGCATGGGCACAGCTGTGTTCTCAAGTTGTCTCACGATGTTGCATGTGACAGGCAGATGGATGAGCAACAAGTGGTGTCTCTCAGGAGCCTGTATTGGGACAAGCACTCTACCATCTTCATCAATGACACACCATGGGATCAAGCACCCTCTCAGCACATTTGCAGACAACTCCAAGCTGAGTGTTGCTAGCAACACACCTGAGGGAAGGGATGAGATCCAGAGGGACCTGGACAGAGTTGAGAGGTGGGCCAATGCCAACCTCATGAAGTTCAACAAGGCCAAGTGCAAGATCCTACACTTGGATCAAGGCAACCCTCCATATCAAAACAGGTTGGGGAAAGTTTGAGACCTGCCCTGAGGAGATGGACTTGGGCGTGTTGGTTGACAAGAAGCTCCCCAGAACCCAGCTTCAGTGTGTGCTTGAGCCCAGAACCCCACCTCGTGTGGTGGGCTGCACCACCAGAGCATGAGCAGCAGGTCGAGGGAGGGTAATGCCCCCCCCTACTGCACTCTGGGGAGACCCCCCCTGCAGTCCTGCCTCCAGCTCTGGGGCAACAGCACAAGAGGGACGTGGAGCTGTTGGAGCGAGTCCAGAGGAGGCCACAGAGATGCTGTGAGGGCTGGAGCAGCTCTGCTCTGGAGACAGGCTGAGAGAGCTGGGCTGGTTCAGCCTGGAGAAGAGAGGGCTCTGGGGAGACCTTATGTGCCATTGAATACTTGAAGAGAGAGCATTTTTAGTAGGGCCTGTAGCAATTAGGCAAGGGGAACTGGTTTTAAACTAAAAGAGGGGAGATTCAGACTAGGTAGAAGAAAGAAATTGTTTACACTGAGGGTGGTGAAACATTGGCACAGGTTGCCCAGAGAAGTGGTATTGGCCCTACACCTGGGAGAGTCATGGTTAGGTTGGATGGGGCTGGAGTCACCTGGTCTGGTTGAAGGTGCCCCTGCCCATGGCAAGGAGGTTGGACGAGATGCCCTTTAAAGGCCCCTTCCAACCAAAAATACTCCGTGATTCTAATAAGTTACAAAAGTATTTCTAGTCTAATTCTCAAATCTTCCAATGTGCATGGGTAAATAATCACATGAAAATGACTAGAGAAAAGTTTTTATTTTGTAACAAAATTTTACATACTCAGTCTGAAAACATGTACATTTAGCCAGGGTATATTAAAAATACAACATTCAGGAGTTTCAACACATGCCTAATAAAACAGATTCACTTCCTCCTAACAGATTTTTCAGATCAAATACACCAAGACCTAAAGGATGATTGCAGATTTTTGTTTAGCTGTCATGTAGTAAATGTTATCTGTGCAGAAAGCTTTCTATGTTAGTCTCTCTAAAGTTTAGTGCTAGCTTGGGACAAGCACACACATCTATATGTACAGTAAGAATTGTACAGTGCAATCTGCTATTCAAAAAATTGTCTTCTAAAAGTGGATTTTGAGAGTTAACTCTAATGAGGGACTTGGGAATTGAAACTCCACTTAAACCAAAGTCTGAAACTACAATCCTAAACCCTCTAAAAGGCCTGCCTAGGGACACCAGAATTCGTCACTGGCCTGGGAGTGCAGTAGATGCTGGCACCAGTGGAAGCCTTTTTCCTCAGACATTTTAGTTTCTTAAAAACCACGTGATCAAATAACTTGTTTTTCCAGCTGGTTTCTGGTTTTTACTTTATACCAGAGTATAAAGGGTTTGAGGTTTTTTTAATACCATAGCAATTTTGCTTTATACCATGCAAAGTTATACATAAATACCAAACTCTGTACTGGCCTAATTCCTGACTGTCCATGACAGATATGGTCCTAAAGCCTCTACTAAAAAAAACACCCTACTGACAGCAACTCACCAAGCATCAAAGCATCAGGATCTACTTTCAGTCACATTTCTGAATGCTAAAGTATAAATTTAAAAAATAGCTTTAAGATAAACACATTTCTATGGAAAACCATCACAGAATAAAACCAAGAATTTATAACAAGAAGTCTTCTAAGAATTTAAATTTTTCAGATGGTCTATGTCTGCCACAACAGCACATCTGCACCTGATACAGGCAGCATTATGGGGATAGTTAAAGTGGGAAGCTCTTTTATTGTCTGAGTCTGAATAGTAAGAGTTGTTCTTACTATTACTCTTCCATATAGTAGCATGCATCAATCTGTAACTAAATAATATTTTTACACTGCCTGGCTTCTCTGTATAAAAACTATAGTTATCACTGATTAAAATACATAATAGCAAAATATTTCTCTTGGTTGACTATAAAATGTTTGTATTTCCATTAATTTGTATTTCCATTAATTTGTATTTCCATTTCTATTTTTAAATGCCTATAAAACTTTATATGAAGTTAAAAGTATTACTTTGTTATTTGTTATCTATACTTAAATTACTGGCAACAGAATAACTTGTGGCAAAACACCTGGAAAAGCTTTCAAAGAGTTAAAAATTTAGGACTACATGCAATGCAGACAAATGTTCATGCAGATTTTGTATCAGTACAAGAAGTCAGTGCCAGACAAATAATCCATACTATTGACAATGGAGCTGGCTGCTGGTATAAGCACATGCTGTCACCAAGGGTGCTGTTAGGTGTCCAGGCAAGCTGCAGTTCTTCTGTATGCTCATTTTTGTTTATGACTTTATGCTTCAAAAACCTGCTTTATTTGCACATATTCAGTTAACATAGAGTTTAAATTTTTAATTTCTTCTATAATGACAGGAAATTGCCTTTTCACATTTGAGTTCTATACATATAACTTTCCTATTCATTTTTTTCTTCAACGTTTTCAGCTTTCTCTAGCGATTTTGCAAAAAGTGTAATGCTCTATATTTCACATTCACTATGTGCAAGATGTAGATAAGTATATCTCATCTTTTAAAGAACTTAGGGTCTCCAGATGAAAAGCAAATAGGAAAGGAAACACCCTCTCAAGCTCTGCAAAACATGACCAAGAAAAATAAAAAACTAAAAATCCCTATTAGTATGAAATCTGAAAAGAACCATTTAGCAAGAAAACCATTCTGAACTATGAAAACAATTCTTATGAGGGAAAAAACCCATAAAAGTAAATAAAATCATGTCCAGAAATTTGCTGTTCTATCTTCATCTCCCAGCTGCAGTTTCCAGGTACATTTCAGGCAATCTGCTGTGGGCACTGTGGAAACACTAAATAATTTTTTTCCAGTGTCGTCTTTGTCTTTCTCGGCTCAGACTACATAGCAAAATCAAAGGCATAGCAGAATCATAAGTACGAGAATGATAATGAAGCGTTTAGCTCCTTGGTAATATTTTATTTACAGAAAAGTACCTACGCTCAGAGAGATACCCCTGCGCAAAAGCTGGGTTCATTTTGTCTTTAATATTACTACCTTCCTATAAGTTAGTGGTACAACAAATTAATGATTTAAGTCAAGAAAACTCTTACCAGCATCTGCAAGGATCATGGTAACATTCAGGATTTCTCTGTTATAACCAAGAAAGAACCCACATAGCCACAAAAGATAATCAGGTTTGTCTCACACAGCGCAGCTTATGAAAACAGGATGATAATTCAGTTTAAACTGAGCCCCCACTGGGGAGGGTTGAGCTCAAAGTCCATCAAAAGCTGATATTCCTTCTCAGACTGACAAACCCATGAGGGTCACCTCCTCCACAGCCAGCAAATCTGACATCGGTGCTGTCAGCCCCCAGGGGGTACCTGGGATTATGAGACCCACTTTTCCCAAAAAAGTCACCAGGACCGCGAGTTTTCTCCATCAAAGCTATGCAAGGCTGTCAACTCCTTTCTCTGTTGGTCCAGCCCCTACCAGTACCATGTTGATAAGCTCCAAGTGGACTCAGTTCTCCCCAGATTCTTTCCTCATGGGGAAAACCACAATATGTACACATTAACAGAGGTGTTCTACAGGTTTTACTAAAACAGATCTTCTTCTCCTATTTACTGAAAGGAAACACTATTTCAATTTGTAGATATTTGGGAAGTAACAGAGAATACATTGTTACATAGGCATTCTTCTGGAACTAAAATACCTACTCATACAACAGTAAGGGTTCCATAAAAGGAAGTAGATAGTTACCTTGAAGTAGAAAATTAATCGTAACTGAAATGATTAGTATGTCTACCCTTTATTTTGCAGACCAACAGAAGCTGCCATAAATTTTTGGATTCTGAAATATTTAAAGAACTTAAGAGTTGGCTTCTCAGCTTTGCTGCAATGCTACTGTGGTACTTTTGTATACTGACTTACCAAAAAATCTGTTTTCAACCAGTGCCTTTTTAGCAGCCAAAAATACTCATGAAAACCAGTAAAACAATCAATTCAGAAGTTAGAAGGAGGAGCACATGACAGCATGACAGTCATGACATGACCCCTGCTGCATTTAATCCCCATGTTTACGAAATTCTTGTGCTTGAAATAAATCTTCATGATACATTTCTCCATGCTTTAATGTAAAAGTAGTGGTCCATTACCAAAGCAAGGAATGTTAGTAGGTGAGCTACAGCATGGCATATGGTGTTCCAGGGGACATACGTATTTTATTTGCTCTTGAAAGGATTTTTATCCTTTGTGTAATTCCCAGTCTGAGGTTTCTGAGTCACGACGCACTCTGCACACACTCAGTCTTCTTACATTACTGTGCAATGGCATTTCTGAGAGTGGATGTAGTTCCTGTAATCAGCAAGCTGCTTCAGGTACAAATTGGAAGGCCATCTGTGCATCTCTACAAAATTGCGCTCCTCCACTAAACAAAGCAACAAAGGAATTAAATGTAATATCCAAACATACAGCAGAAGTGCACAGGCTGCAAGAAGTCTATAAAATAGGTTGAAAACCATCAAGGACATAAACACAACCAGGACAGTAAAGAGGAGTGCTCTCTACCTTGCCTAGAGCTTACGGGAGTACAGACAGAAGAGTTACCACACAGTGTTCCCTTGCTATTAAGTTAGCAATAAGTAAGTTACTTAATAAAATAAAAACAATACTCATTAAAGAGAGCAAAGAGGCTATGCTACAGATCAATGTTCTTTATCTCTAGAAGGTAACCGGATGTGGTAATCAGCTGTGAGGATTTTGTCTATGCTGCGACACTATCAAGGAGAGGCTCTCAATCCCTATGCCAACCGTTTGGCTTGAGAGCATTTCAAAAAGCAAGGTAAGGGGAGCAATTCAGAACTCAGCAAGATTTTTTACTTGTGTTGCATGTGTTTTTTGTTGCTGAGACAATCGTGTAACAGTCTTGAGATGTATTACTTAGATGAATCCCTTTGCAGAATCATGTATTGCCATCCCCTGCTCCCCGATTTTCCTGAATCCTTTTAAGGACTCAGACCAAGCTGGATGGAGACCAAGGCACAGCAGAAAGATCCTCAGTGTGGGAAGGGCTAAGGCCAGGGCAGGAGGCAATGTCTTTCTGCCTACCTCGTGCCAAACACAGGGCTGTTTCTGGAGATTTCAGTGGCTGAAAGCCACTGGAAAGCTGCTGCTTTGTGCTGCATGGCTCTCCAAGCCATGAGGTGATGCAGTGTCATGGTGTCCTTAGGAAGAAAGTCCAGCTGCCTATAACTGCTGTTGGGGAGATTGAGCCTCTCTGAATGTGCTGGAGGGTGCTTGTGCTCTGGCAAGCTGGGGCAGAACGATTTTACCTACCCACCTATATTTAGTTATGTGCTCCTATTTCTTTTCTCAGGCTGTCTCACTGCAAGTTCAATGCAGCAGAACACGTCAATGCCTCAGTGAACCATGTGGAAGGGACTCAGAGGAAGGAGAAAGGCAAAGGAGAGGCTACCAGCCGTATGGACACCAGTGGTGGAATATACGAATGGTTGGAAGCAAAGAGGAAACCCCAGGTGATGACAGAGCAAACATTTGCTGTGATCATACTGTACCCTGAGTCACTCGGGTGCTGTCAGAGTACATGCTGACAAGTGCTTATGAGTGATGCCTATCAGAAGCACCACTGCATGACTTTCATGACACACTCATATGCAGCCTGATATCCATCAAGATCACTGCAACATGGAAGCAGAATTGCTATTGCTATTACTTTTCACAGGGGGAAAAAAAAAAGTAACATTGATAAATTGATATCCCACTGGGAAACTGGAAAATGGGTAAGTAAATGTGCCTAGATTGTGTCCTGCACTGAACCTAAGTCAGAGGGGTGTCTGTGCTCTCCTGCCTCACCAAGGGGAAGTCATCTACAATTCCCACCTTCACCAAACGGTTGGGACAATCTGACTCCTGCAGCTTCAGGAGTACCTCAGTGTGGCTGAGACAACACAAGCTTAATCCATGTTTAATCCAGATCTGGTTATACAAAATGGATGTTTCAGAAGATACATAGTTGGGCCACTGCAAGACAAATTCCAGGTCCAAACAGAGCAAGGAGGGCCTAGCTCTCCCTCCTTCACTCATAATGGTTACAGAGTTGTCCATCATCACACACACATATATGAGCCTTGCAAATGAGGAAAGAGTTCCTTCAATGTACTTTGGACCAAACAGAGCTTCGGCTCATTGATAACAATATCCCCTGCTGGAATACGCTCGCCCCATATCAATGGTCTGAATACAAACCATGGATCAGAACAGACGCACCCATCAGGACCACCTTCACCGGGGTGTTGAAAATTCCCACAGACAATAAGCAAAACTTTCTAGAGTTATGTATCAGGAAACAAATATACAGTTTGGGAAAATAAATATCACTTCTCTGGAAGATTCCTCATTTATTTACTTGAACGGGCACTAGTTACTTGATTTCATGGTATCTGCTGGAAAGTACTGGAAGAATCCCGTTTTCTTCAAAGAAAACCCCAACCCTTGAAGAGCAGGTATTGGAAGTGACTCATTACTTTGATTCTAATGCACTAACTAAACAAAATTACATACATAAGGTAGAGGGACTGACACATGCTGACCAAAGTGTCCCAGTTGAATCAGTTATGGGTACAAATCTTACCATCAGTGCAGGAATACAAAAATACAAGGAAATGTGGTTGCTGGACATTCTGTTCTTCATGTGTCACACACTGGTCCACAGTATGGTGATGTACCATTCAGCTCACACAGATTCTGGCCTATAAAAGTCCGAATTGTCTTCTCATGCAGATGTAGTATTGTCCAGTACCTTGCTTCTGATCTAAGCAGAACTGAAAAGCATTTCTTGTTTTAAAAGTAATAGGTAAATTACCTGAAAGATCTTGAAATTCAGGCTTTTGACTGAAGATGAGGTAGTTAGTGGCAATAAAATGGAGAAGCCAAGTTGAAAGGCAATCAGAATTGTGAAACTGCAAGAAGAAAGAAAACAAACAATATTTACTGCTATCATGTCTAGAACAACCATTCCACTGTCAACATAGCAGTTTACTAAATAAAGTTTTGACTGTAGGACATAACAGAGGAAAAGTCACTGCCAGAAATGTCTAAACAGATGGAGACTCAAGAACAAACAATAAGACTTCCCCCATCCCACCCCAGCAGTGTGATCTAACTCCTGGGGCTCTTTTGGGCATGAATCTTAGAAATCTTTGTCATGGAAGAGCTTCAGAAAAAGGGTGGTAAGGAGTGCAGCATGTTGGTTATGTGGTCTCCTCTTCCTCCACAAAATCCTGTTTATTTAAGACAATATCCTGCCTAAGACTTGGAATGATTAATTTTTCTATTTTCCTCTTCTGTGTTCCAAATCTGGCTTTACTGTCTCTCTTTTTTCAGCCTCTAATCTTTTCATGCTTTTCATGGTTTCCACTCAATATTCTACCAGATTGGATCTTCTTTGCCACTTGCATGACTAAAAGAGGAAGTAGTGCATCTTCACTTGGCCAAAATACATCTTTCCTGGCAGAAGCTGCAATTCAAGTGAATTACTGCAATGTGTCCCTGATGAAGGAAATTGCACAGATTGTGTTATGACAGCACACTGTGCAATCAAAGGCTTGAAGGCCTTACTTTAGGCAGCCTCATGCCACAGATAACCCTAATCAACAGACTGTGTATCCGTGTTTGTCCTTGGGAACAGAAAATATTAAGATCTTTAAAATCTTAACAATTAAACAACCCCCATTAATTTTTGGTTAAGATGTATGTTCATATGACACATACCTTAGCTTTTTTGAGCAAGCTAACAATACTGAGACTTGTGGATGCCAGCTCCCTGCTAGGCATGCTCTGAAGCTGTGTGATAATGTAAAGCTCACAAATATGCTGGAGTCTCATTACTTGGTACATCTCTGCACAGATCAAGAGAGACATAGCTTGGAGAATACCAGCTGAAAAACAAGAAAACACAAGTTACATGTATTTTACCTTTTTGACAAGATGATCAAAGCCAGTTTTCACCAAGTCATCTTTCAAGCACCTAACAATGAACATAAAATGAAACTGCTGTTGATCACATTATTTTATTTTTCATTATTGTTGATATAAATTTGCTATACGACTCTCTTTTTCCTATTTAATTAACAGGAAAAGAGTACTTTAGTTAGTACTTTTTAGAAGGTAGGTGTAATAAATTCTTCTCAATATCCTGCATCTTGAAGATGCTGATCAACTGCTGTTAGTGTATTTAAAGTTAAGCGATGATTAATAAAAGGATTTTAGCTTTATAGTATCTCTTTCAAAAAAGAACTTCCATGATACATGTACAAGAAAATATAGCAAAAAAAGGCCTAAAAGAAAATGAAGCAACCATATATTAAAAAAAATTATTAAATTTAATTATTTTTTTTAAATATGGTACAGTGGTTGCATATTTAAACTGATGGACAGGGAAATGGCAGACGGACTGAAAAGAGAAAAAGGGAAAACATTGTAGTAAGGTAGAATTATTTGAAAAGAAAACAAAAGCAAAAATACGTATCACAGCATTATTCATTCACTATCCCAAAAGAAATTTATCTGTATTTAAATAATATTCCGTATTTAGTATGTAAATTTTCTTCTTATTAAAAAAGACTGGGGTCAGGATACAAGGAATACTTCACTCAATTTTTCTTACTGAATACTCCAACTGACATATTTTTTTGAGGATTTACATACAAATGAGGTACCCATATGTATAAATAAAGTATTCTTGCGCTTTAACCTTTTTTATGTTAAATGCAACAAATATATCCTAAAGGAAAATTTTGAGATCAACTCAAGAATTATGAGTAAAAAGCAGTATTATTGTGATGTAGAAAGACAATTCCAAATATTGTAATGGACCAGAAATGAAATTTCACTGATTTTTGAGTCTTGCTGTGTAAGCACAAACCAAACACATTTTATTAGTGATATCTGTTCTGTTAGCAGTTGATTTTACTTGAATAAGAATGATTTCTTTTTTTTGCACAGTATGAAAAATTTCTTTCTCTTGAGACATTATACATTAAATTATTCACATTCTTCAATAATGTAAATGCTGCTACATTACTCTTTATCAATGCCCCACTATGGAAAAATGAGTAAAAATGTGTATTTTTAACTTTTCTTACCTGGGCAGCAGGAGTCGGTATAAAGATACTCTAGAAAGGAGAGGAAAGTGTCTTTGGAAACCCCATACACTGGAACCAGAATACTATTTGCTTCTAGATAATTACCATTAAACATAGCTGCCATTACCTCACAGCGAGCTACCAGAATTGCTCTGTGGGCTGGTACAGTTGCATCTGCAGGACACAAGAAAAAATCTGTGATGATTTTATATACACAGAAAGATCCTGATTTTAAAGCTCCCGTTTTCTTAGATGGTCTTCACTTCACTGAACATGATTAAAATGTTTAAAATTAACAATATCCAACAGATAACTAATAACGCACTCGCTTTATACCAGTCAAGATTTTACATCTGCCTCATAAAAAAAGCAGAAAAAAAAGGAAAAAGAAATACCAAATTTATTATGACAACCTGCTCCCAACACCAAGTTCTCTAAATCTGGCAAACTTTTATCAGGCAGAAACAGGCTTTTAACTAGCAAAAAATCAGATGTCACTGTACTTACACCAATTTACAGAACCTGAACCTCTGGCCCACTGCATAAATATGCAGTGTTGTGAATTATTACACAAATGAGTAATTTGCGATCCTCAGCAATCCTGTTGGTAATGAATGCATGTTCCAGAAGTCAAACTTTCACATAGCCACAGAGAGCAGAGAAAGGCGAATTATCCTAGATGAAACTCCTTCAAATCCATTAAGTAAGTATGACTTTAAACAGATTAAGTATTTTGCCTAAGTGAATTTCCTGATGGCTGTCTTACAAAAATAATCCTGGTAATTTCTTCTAGAAATGTTTCTATTTTTTAATATTTGTGAGTGAATAATTTACTTTATCATTTACTTTACATTTACAACATCTAGAAGACCTCTGAGGTTAACAGCCTTGGTACTAGAGGTCTTACAGGCTCTTAATGAAAATGTTGACAGCCTGAGCTGCCAGCACTGACCCTTGGACCTCTGCAGAGCCCAGATGAGCTCAGTTCTCCTATGCACAAGGAAAGGCCAAACAGGACAGCAGCCAAAGACAGAACTTAAGTTTACAATTGGATGTAAATGTTTTAATCAAAATTAAAATAAATAGATCAACTGACATGCAAGATAAACATACTGCAAATACTTATACAGAAGTTGCTGTTTTCATTTCCTCTTCAACTACAACCCTACCCCCTACTTAATTTGCTGAAAACACCTGTCGTTTTTTCATTTTTGTACTATTTCTCTTCACCTGTGCTTCTACTTCCAAATGTAGCACACAAAACTTATGCATTTCCATATAGAGAGAACATGTCAATGGTATTATATATTCATGCATATAACATGAGCATTACATGACGCAGACGTGATTTAAGTTATGCATGCAGTTGCATATGTGTATGCAATTGGATATTTACCTACTAATTAGGAGGTTCAGTCACATTATCAGTCTTTACACAGACATAATGAGCTCCCATTTTCAATGGCTCCCAAGTACTTCTGTAAGCGAGAAAGCTCAAAGCAACCCCCAATATTCAACGAATTAGTGAAGAATTAAAAATATATTTGCCAGATCAAATATATTTTTTGATATATAAAAGCCTAAGACTTTAGCCTTCTAAAGCCTTCAGTTTCTCCTAGTAATTGTTTAATTTTAATACAATTATTGTGGCTGATGAATTAGAGAAAAAGGCTTGGAAGACTTATCAAACATTAGGAACACCAGTTCACATTTTAGGAGTGGGTAAGCACATTTTTTTTAACTACTTGTCAACCCATTTGGCAGGGTTGGGTATTTTTTCTGCAAAATACATAGTGATGTTATGGTTTAATCAACTTCCGACAAGGCCTCTCTCAGGAGTGGGACACTGAGATGATTGTTCATGTCATTAAACTCAACATCAGTATTTTGTTCTCATTTTCAAAGATCTTTTTGTTTTCTTCTGCATATTAAACATAGTATCTAGAAAGAATCTACTTGTCCTCATGTGCATATGTTTGAAGGATTAATGCTTCATATTTGGCTCTGAGATTTAAAGCTAGAAATGATTAACCAATTGCCTAATCTTAGAAGACCATTTCTGTGTGAAGGGTGAGTGTGGACAAATCAAGAAAAACATTAGCATTAAGAAACTACGTCATTCTCACAAATCACACCCTCCTTGATCTTTAAGGGTGAATGCACTTAATTTCCAGAAAAAAAGCAGCCATGGCACTGCAGCAAATTGGTGCACCCAGCACAATTTTTGCTGGCAAAATGGGAACAAAAGATGGTTTCACAAGCACGGCTCCTGCCTGTGCCTTTGCCAAGGAGCATTTGGCATCTTTGTGAGCAGACCTATGGAACACCACCAACCTTTGTAACTTAACAGCCTCTTACAGGTAAGTCAACAAGGAAAGCCAGCCTCTGCTCCCTACATCTTTTTAATCCTGGCCACAATGAGGACTAGGTAATTACCATCATCTCAAGAGACTTTTTTAAAAAAACAACTAAACAAGCAACAAAACAACAAAACCTCAGTAATTTAGATGTTTCTTTTCACACTTGTAGGGTTAAGCAACAGACAGGTCTAACCTAGGCTCCTGCAAGACTGAAGGCTGCTTTCAGAAGGCATCACCTACCATACAGAAGTTGGCTGTGACAGAAGCATGGAAATTGGTATGGGAGCCTCTAGAAGGGCAGCAAAACACAGCAGGTGTTGATGGCACCTAGATTAGTAGGTCATCAAAACCCCAGAGCATTTACTTGCAGTTCTAGGGATGCCCATGTTGGGGGAAGAAGGGCTCTGAGTAAAGTCTAAGAAAGCACAGGAGGAGGATATAAGTCCCTGTCAGCCTCTAGAACGTACAGAAAGGCACACCCACAGCCAGCACCAGCCTGAAAAAGGCAGAGGGAAGGTGGTCAGGAATCTATAACCAGCTTCTGCAGTCATGCTTTGCCAAAAAAGGTTGGAGCATAGGATCCTTGAGGTCCCTTCCAGCCTGGGATTCCAGGATTCTATGATATCTGCTAGTGCTTGTGCAGGTGGGAACATGAGATAAGTAACTTTTAAAATAGAATCACCATCCCCTGTGATGCAATCTCTGGTGTAGCCTTGTTATCTCAGTGCTATGCCATTGCGGGAGCCTTCCCTGTGGCACATCCTTCATTTTGCTAAGCCTCCAAGGGATGCATGCCAGTCAGAGAGGCACAAAGTCTACCATGTCAGGCAAAGGGCACTGGCACAGGCGCAGCAGTGACAAACCACGCTGAGAGTGAACGCTGCTGCAAAGCATCCATAGGACAAGCATTAGTTCTATGCAAAAGCTGCTCTCCACAGTAACAGCAAAGCAGATACACATTTCCTTAGTTCTGGTGCAACAAAAAGTAGCCACGTCCATTTCCCTCTCTCCTGCAAGGAATATAAATGCTGGAGATGCAACAGAGCCAATGTCACCAGGAGCAGAGGTACCATACCTTGTATTTTGAAGATGACATCAGCCAGGACAGGCGTATTAAAGAACACCCTGAGAGAAGTATTATACAGCCGTTTCATCTGTTGAGATCTGCAGTCTTTTATAGTGTTAAACTGTAAAATGAATTATTAATAAAACACTGTCATGTACAATTGCCCACAGAATAAAAAGTTACAAGACATCATTTATATGGGGAAACTAAATAACAACCTTTTCCTTTCTACTTTACATTCTTTTGCTAATGCTACTCAGCTGTGCCCCTGGCATGTGCACTCCTTTGCAGTCATGTTTTATTTTCCTGTGTCCCACAGTGCAGCAGCTCCAAGGCATCCCTGTCTCTTACAGTCACACTCCAGCTCTCACCTTGGAACTCTCTGACCTGTGACATAACTCCCCCATCCAGCACCTACAGGCAGAGGTTTTTCTTACTTTAAACATGGAATCTAAAGCTACCAAAGGGAACATCAAAATCATATTGCTTAATTGTGATAAGTAAAATTCAGATGAGGTTGAATTTATTGAGGTTAAAGTCTTACCTGATTTATTAATTTTTAATTTTATCAAGCAAAATCACAATATTTTTTCTTTTGAACAAAAGATTTTAAATGTGAAATAAAAGTGCCCCAAAGGCATACATCCTCCCCCCCCAAAAACCCTAAAGATAATAACAACACAGGCTTATGATCTTAAAAAGTTTTCAGGACTTTCTAAGTCCAAACCTACAAGGGTTTTAGCTGTGGACACTTAGGACTGACAGGCCTACAACCTGATCAGGCCTACACATGATCAGAACCTTAACACAGCTAAGTAACTTTCTGATCTTCCTATTATGTTATCTCAAGACAGTTGGAGACAATTTCCAGTTTAAAGTGACAGAAATACTTTGTGCAAATTCTATAGTAACACGGAATGTATAAGCTCAACCAACAGACAGCTGTTCAAAGTAATTCTGTATTGTATTTTTTTATTAACATCATAAAGCAACATAAATTACATTATACTGTGAAGTCATCTCCTGAATTAAATATACTGAGTTATAGACAGCTTTACACGTAACAATATTTGTAAGTGAAACCAGCTCTCCTGACCTACTGCAGAAGCACAACTTTCAGCACATCTTCAGGAAAGCAAAGCTTTCCTGAGCAGCCTCTATTACATGAGAATTAGCTCACATAATCATGTTAGACAACGTGTAAAGCTGTGAATATTAGTAATCCTTTTAGGATACCTATTTGTGTGCTTTTTACTAATTACATTAATAATGCACATCAGCATCCTTGTGTTTCTATTTTGCACATGCCTCTCAACGACCCATAAAGTAATAACAGCTGCATAAGCTGAAGTGAGTTTAAAAGAAAGACTGACAAGAAAAACTTACCTACAAAACAATTTCTCAAGAACTTAAGTGTAACTAATACTAACAGTTACCCTAAGAGAGTTAGATGTACCTTCCCTGGGGTTTTCAGGATACATTTAACTTTCTCAAGCACATTTTCAGTTTTTTCTGGATCCTTCAACTTCTTTTTTATATCCTCTTCTAGTCGTTCCCACTGGAAAGCACCTGTTACAAGACCAGATAGAGTTGGATTATAAATCAACAAGGCACCAGTGACTAACAGATACTGCAGAAGATGCATTTTTTGCACTTAAATCAGCCAGATCTTCGTACTTAGAAAGGGCCAGATGCAATTCTTGCACAATAAAACTTCAGTGGTGCTTTTCACTAGAATGCAAGCACAGACCAGGACATCTCCCTTGCTTTCAAAATCAATTTCTGAATTCCTCCCAGTTCAATCACTATACAGTGCAGGTAGGCATTCAGGAAATAAAAACAACACCACCAGCACCACCACCACCACATTACTTCGTAGGTGACCAAACCAGAAAAACTTCATGCACAGATATATTATGAGTACCAGTAGCTAAAAACAGCACAAAGTTTTCAGGGGAATTTCTTATATTCTTGCTTTCAAAGTCAAAGCCATGATATGCCCTTAGGTATCTCAGTATTTAAAATCTTTCTAGGTGTTCTTCTAAATGTTCTTTTTAAATACTTATTCTTTAAGGTCCCTTCCAACCCAAAACACTCTATGATTCTAATAGATTTCTTGGAAAAACAAAAAGTAATGATCAGTGTTAAAACAATTGATTTATCTTCACACACTTTGTTGGAGAAAGACTGAAAGACGCTATGGGGCATTCTGGTAACTTTCAGCTCTGCTCCCCAGGGCCATACAGCAAGGAAGAGTCAGAGACAGATAAAGCTCCGGGTAAAGCACAAAGCAGAAAAGTCTGAAACAGCATATACAACATATGGCATTTGTAGCTCCGTCATCTCCTATATACACCAGATGGATGGTAAGTGTTCATAACCTCATGGGCATAATGTCATGGTCCTGAAAAGCTGAAAACACTGCCTCATGTCTGATCTCTTCTCAACCCTCGACTCAAGGTGTCTTCAAGAGACCTTGTCACCTCTCAAAGGCACCAGACAGTGCAATGACTTCTGGCATTGCCTGTCAGTTTGGGAGCTGCAGCTTACAGCAGAGCTTCACATATGACTGTACAAAATTTCCTATCTCCTTGGTTCACATGAACAGAAGTAAAAAGTAAAATTAGTGCACAAAAGGTAGCAGACACACGTTGTAAATGGTAACAGATGAAGATAATGCATTTATCTATCATCTGCTGAATTTTCAGGTCTAATTCCCTGTTCATGTCACCAATAAACAAATAGTTAAAAATAATAAATAAATCCATCCACACTGAAAAATATACTGCTTATGTTCTTTATATTTGATACTGGTTTGGAAAGAACTGATAGGGATGTTTTCAATGTACAAACTCTGATTGAAAGCT